GGGTGACGAAATCGTGCGGCAGGGATCTTCGCATGAAGGAAGGCAGACTCTGGTGGTCAATCGGGCGCCGCGCACCGCAGCAGTGACGCGTCACTGCACCCCTGTTTTCGAGTTGCACGTGTTTCTTTCCTCTTCACCGACGCCTCCACGTTCGATTCTCTCCTACTCTATACGTGTTTCTTCCGTGGGCACTCCAGGCTCACGTCCGACGCGATAATCACACGCCGATATTAAAATTTCACGCGACGCCCGAACCTTCCCCTCTGAAAAGTCTGTCCCACCCAAGTCGGTTCGACGTTCATGGTAAAAGGGACGACATTCGTGTACCATCGTCGGGATACCTTCGTTTACTACCGCGTTGTTTCGCGAGCAATCGTGTTTGGACCACACGGGGGTCTTGTATATTACTCGGAGCAGTAGTCGGTGGTTGACTTGTGCTCTGTAAACGCCGTCGATCGTCATCCCTCAAGGAGCCCCGTAGACCCAATCGGCCGACGCTCCAGTGTCAGTTCCGCTTGCGTTGAAACTGTGCAATTCTCAGTGATCAGTGAGACCGTTCGCCGAAGATACCGAACGGGTAAGCTCGTCGTCTCGAGGTTGAGAGGATCGTTGACCAACCGTTGGCCGAGCTGCGTTCGAAAAGTGCTGTGAACGTCCCGCGGAGACACGTAGCTGCGGATTGTGCTTTCAGCTGGTGACCGGATCCGGCCTGACCACGGCCATTCTCGACACGGTACGTTCTTTATTATCAATCGAAACGGAAAGATTGCGAAGTGTTGGGTTCTGTGTGATCGAAGAACTTCCCTTTAGATCCGGTTAATCGGTCAAAGTTTGAGATTCTGTCTTTGGGGTGAAGGGAACAGTGCGTACGTCGTTGTGATTTGAATCTACGTTTCTTTCGCGCCTTAATGAACGTCTCTGTACGATAAATGTCGGAAAGTTCGCGTGTCCCTATATTATGTAGTTGAGAGATTGATCATCTGTTGAAAGTGAATGTCATTAATCATTCGCGTAGTAACGTGAACGTAGTGCGTTTAAGCATAACTTATCGCGAAGTGTAGTTGTAGGAAGTTCATAGCGTATCCGGTTCCGGCGGCGCGCAGTCACCATCTTGATAACCTAGATTTGTAGAGTCTTTATTGTACAGAAGTGTCGGATGATAAATTCATATACTGTTTCTTGGGTGTTACTTCATTGTACGAAATTGCGGGTATGCGACTAAATTATTCATTGCTGACATACTTCGTCGGAATTGTGCGTTGAAGGTTATCGACGGGTCGGGGGAGTGTTCAGTGAATAACAAACTTCCGGTATCAGAACCAGAAAACCATTATCATTTTTTTGATGTTCACTATTGGTTTCAATAAGATTCTTCAGCCTGTTACTTTGCATAAAATTCATATAGTTTGATGAAATTTAATCGAATTACTTTCACAAAGGAATATCATAAAATTAACAAAAAGTCTAATGGAAGATTAATTGATTGACAATTTGAATTGTAATCTTTTGAAACAATTTATTTTTGTGGGAAGTATATCCTAACTATTGTACGTCGTTCTGATTTCATTTGAGTCTATTCAAACGCTTCATTAGAGGGGTTGAACGAAATAATTTTTTCCTGGGAAATTTGTTCCCGTCGGCCGCGGGAAATTGTAATAAACCCGGCCAGACGTAATAAGTGGAAAGCACAGGCAACCCGACGCTTAGCGACAAATTACTGATGCCACAATGGCGCCTGTTGACGATCCAATATCTCATTGTGATCGCGAAAAAAAACGCTTGTCGATTGAAAGTGAACTGCATCGGATTTACTTTTGTAGCGGGGCGTGATTAAATAACTTCTAATTATCACGCGTATCGCGGAGAAGATGAAAGTTATTTGCACTGAATTCGTTAAAGTCAACACAAACAGGAACACAGGAATCCATTTGCTTGTCTGAAGCAAATTCGTCAGAATTCGTAGTACAAATTTCGGTATATCATAAACGCGAAAGAATTATCATTAGAAATAAAAAAATAAAAAAAATAAAAAATACTAAGTTTTCTAATACAGTTTCGAAATAACTATTTCCTGATAAATTGCAACGAAAGACTCCATATCTAATGAATCTTCAGTCAGCGAAATAACCCTCCCTTTTTCTTCTCCCAAAAAAACAAAAAGGTAAAACTCTGGAAAATCAGAAAGGGTTGAAGTTTCTACGGGATCGTTCTCTCCCCGTTCTGGCCCGATTGGGGGCCCGTCCGTCGGCGATATTTTCATCTCATTATACTTTCAACAATTCGGAACCGAGCCGACCGACGTGTATTTCGATCGAACGAAACAAATTTTTCACCTTTATGAATAATTTATATACATCGACGGCCTCGAATTAGGGATCGCGGGCCGCCCGTAGGAACGGATATATAAACGGGGACCAGGCTGCGAACACACCTGTCCGTCTTTTATTATTTTTACACGGACGGATGGAAAAAAGAAACATCGCGCTCATTGAAAGTGATACAATCACGGAAAATAACAGATGTCCCCTCGTTGGCCTCGAGTGCTCGGCAAAGAAAGCCTCCGCGAGTGCCTCGGGAGATTTCACGGAAAGTCCCCTTTGTTGTACTTGAAACGCTCGAGGGCGATGAGACAAACGGCAAGCGCGCGGGCGCAGAGAAAATTTCACCGATTCGAATTATTTACTAATTCCGTGCACCTTTCCTGTTCCCCTTGAATTACCAACTACGCGCGCTAAAAAAAAAAAAAAAAATACGGAAATTAACCCGTCAGCGACTTGTTACACGCTTATAAGTGCTCGTTCGAGCAAGGGAAGCGCGTTCAGCTTATCGGCGTTCGGCGGTGACGCTTGAATTGGAATACAAGATTTTCACACGCGTGTTAAGTGTTGCGATCTTACAAACGGGAAGGGTTGAATGATTTAACCGCGAACGTAGATGTAGATACGCTTTGTATTGCTAATTGCGGCGGATCTTGTACCGTATTCCTGCAATTATAGAAACAGTAGATTCCACGAGGTGAACTTTGATACCTGTCGACTTATAATCAGTGTGTATCAGCAATTCTGTTTTTCCTGTGCTTCTTTACGTCAGGATTTCGAGTTTATATCACTTGACAGTAGAGACTATACAGTGACTTGCATGTTCGTTCACGTGTTTTGGAAATAAATATTAAGTAAAGAAATTTTTATGCAACTCTTATGGATAAAGTTCTGAGTACCCTGGTGGCCGATTATATTAAAATAATCGAACTGACTGATTGAACTGTGTTTCGTAACGTTTGTTTTAATGAATTTCTCAGTAATAAAAATTACTTCTTGTGCATAAAATATACCCCTTTTTTTAGTACAGATAAAAATATTGAACTGGCTTTTGTATTCGTCCACCGGGGACATTCGGAACTACCGTAATTCCTATTCGTCTATGCTCATTTTTTCAGCACTGTCGTTCTTTTCTGATAAATTTTTTCCAACATTAATTTGAAAGTTCTAATTTGATAAATAATTTAGTCAAGTGAATGTGACTGCGTTCCATAAATTTTGTGAGTCATTGTAAAATTTCTTAGCATAATTCTAATAGATATTTTTAGAAATCTGTAGTTCCAAGCATGGGAATGATAACGAAGCGACATGTAACGAGGAATTACTGTAGGTGAGACGATACACAGCGGATAAACACGTAACGAATTTGCCATTTTCCCAGTGTACATCGTCTTCAAGCTGTCTCCGTTCTTTTTAACGAAATTCCTCCGTAGGATTTGACGTTCTTCTGTCGCGACCTCGGGGTCCGTGAGCACTCTTAACAAGAGCCTGTACCTACACAGCCCGTTTCTTCGTCCTCTCCTTCGTATTCTGTATCCGTCGGTCTTTAAATAGAGGGATAGCAATTTCGTCTTTATTTACCGTGCCGCGTCGACCGGAAATCGTCGGGCATTAGGTTAATGCACAAAAATCCGAGCGTCTTTAACGATCCCTCTTCCCCTTCCCCCCTTATTCCGTGGGTTCTCTTAGGCGGCCGCCATTAACGAGGCCGCGGGATCGCAAGATTTTCCACGGAAGCGCTTTTGTCGAAAGGAAAAGTGTCCCCGCGTCCCGCTAATTGCAAATCGACCGTCGAGAATGTCGTTACGCGCCGTCGGCCGTCGCTTTGGTACTTCGTTTCCTATTTTTTTCGTTTTTTACTCTTCTTCTCTGGTCCTCGACGAAGCGCCGCAACTGTAATTTTTCGTGTAATGCGCCACGGGACGCGATATTAAGCAATTTAATGCGTTGCAGTTTCTTCTGAGCTTGTCACGGGGATACGAAAGAACCGGAGTAATTAGTAAATTTTCCGAGGGGTTCGTTTCATTTCTACGGAGTTGTTTGGATTTCCCGCGTGAACCTGGCGCCGGCGGCCGCCATGGCTCTTCTAATATTTTCTTTCCTGTCAATTGTATCTCCCTAGAAAGTATATTTTCGAAATAAAAATATACTTGGTATATTTATAAATATTCTATATATAGAATACTTTATATTACTCAATTATCGTTGAATAAATTCAAAATGGCAGTTTCGTATGCATCGACCCATTAAGAAATTTTCTTCACAGAAACGTCTGTATTTCCAATCCATTAATTTTCCATTCATTTTTCCAAGGTGTTTCGGTACGTTAAATAATCCGAAAACGATCGACTCGATGTTACGTTACGACGCATCTCTAGGTTACCGCAATAAGCGTGTATCCATTAGAGGCGCATTACGGTAAGTGGGTAGACTTTTTTTTAACGGGGATACAAAGCGATCGTGCGGTCGCAGCGGATAGTAACCCACGATCAGGCCGTAGCACATACAGCTTGCACATTTTGATCGAGTCGAATCGTTTATGGTGTTCCCTTCTTACCGTCGCCCTCTTCGTCCCGCGTGTTCTCGGTCGCGTTCCACCGCGATCACGATGAAAGGAGCTAATGATGTACGAACCGGGCCGAATGATAATTAACACTCATCGTAACTGCGGCGTGATTAACTATGATGAACGAAAGCGACGGTGGAATGCGCGTAGGTGAAACGCCGCCGCCGACGCTGTGTTGTAAACCCGCCTTCGAAGGTATCTCGATCGCCGAAGAGGGTATTACTGACGATGTAAACACCGTTCTGACCACAAGAATCGCGGCTACGTGGAGTTTACGTTACACGGTTGTTGGTAGAAGCTTCTTGCCCCCAGCGGAACGGACAGTTTCGCTGGTGATCGATGCTCGAACTGTGCTCCTGGAAATGAATTCTGGAAATGTTGTCGTCGGAAAGTGAAGTGTAGACACAGCTTTTAGAAAAGTTGTATTATTAGATGTACCAATAAGGGATCCATCATTTTTTGTCAGTTTTGGTTGTTTATTTTTAAAGAAATCGAATTGGTGAATTTTTCTATTATATTAATATTTGCACCTGTTTGTCACTAGCTGTTGTCATTTTTAAAAAGGGAAAGATTTTAGAAAAGTTGTATTGTCGATAAGCAATCTACTATTTGTCAGGTTTATTATTTATTTGTAAGGAAATTGAATGGCTGAATTTTTTTACTAGTATTTCCCATAATCTACTAATAGCCGTTGTTCTTTTTAAAAGAAAGGGTGGAAAGATGTTTGGAAAAGTCATATTACTAGATGTATCAACAAGTAATCCACCATTTTTCATCAGTTTCATGATTTATTTTTAAGGAAATGGAATGTTTGAATTTTTCTACTAATATTCGCTCTCGTTTGCCAATAGCAGTTAAAAGGGTGGAAATTTTAAACTTACGTTACCAATGACAGGATTGAATAGAAGAAAATTTTATTGTATTTCTTGAACGTCTTCCACGGCAGTGAAGCATCAACAGTATCGCATCAATTTCAATTACTTCATTCATTCGGTTAAATAAAAGAGTTGTGTGTTATAGAAGAAGCCTTCAAGGGAGAATTTCAAAAGTGTTTGTTGGGAGTGGTAGTAGACTTCTGAAAAGTGTACTTCGTCCGTGGCCCTGATTATTTTACAAGTGTTCGGGAACTGTTTACCGGTGTGTTTCTGACCGAATTTACCGTTGACCCTGTGTCCACCCTCCTGTACAGGGGTGTGCATAGTCACGACCGCCAGATTCAAGAGTAATGTGTCCCTACTTGCACAGGTCGACGCTAGAGCACGTAGGACAAGTTAGCAAATTAGCCTTGCTCTATTTTCCTACCCCCGTTGGGTTACGGGAATTTAATACTTAATCATCCGTGCATCACGATATCAATAGAAAAAATTCCTAAAAACGTAAACGTGAGAACAAACATAAAATTCTCCACTTTGATTTTTTCTAATTTCCTGGATCGCAAAATAAGGATATCGAGACACCATGTTTAACGACGGTGAATTCGCACAGAGATCCGATGTTCGACGAGCGAAAAAAATTGCGAAAATTCACCAGCGACAATCGGGTATATGTTTATTATTCGCCACGGCGTTATTTATTCTCTGGGCGGACTTCGCAAAATTTGCTTTTGGCGAACCAGTTCCGACGGTGCCAATATTTGCCCCGTTTCGCGCGACGATAATCCCCTGAATTATGTTCTTTGAAACGGGCCCGCGTTGTCCGTTTGTACACGCGCGGAAGGGCGCGTGAAAGAGCGTGCAGAAGTACGGGGATCAATCGAGTTTTCAACGATTTACACGTTGGCTTATGAAATTGCTCCCAACAATATCGAAGTTATTTTCGCCACCCCCTCCGTTTCCCCGGCTGGTTTCGACGTTTGACTGCGGAAACATTGATCAGCCTTTACGCGGATCCTGGGGCCCGACGGATCGCGAAATTTGACCTCCTCTTTTCCCCTTTCGAACGCTTCAAACGCGCGTTTAATGTGCATCGCGATTATGAGTCCGGTAGATTTATTGGACGACGTTTCCCGAATATCGATAACTTTGTTTTTTAATCTATACAGACGAGCGATTTATGGTGGTAATCAACCTGGAACCCAGGGTGAGAATCGTTTCAGTTAATTTACAGGTCTGTAAATTGAAATTTTGGAAACTTTCAATGACGCAGAGATTAGATTCAAGGGAAACGATCTTGGGAATAAAAAAAAGTTATTGTATGGATAGTCGAAGACGCGAACAAGTTTCTTATAGTTAGCCAAGGAAACAGAAGATATGTATCTAGAGAGTATAATTGCATCTTAAAACAAACGGTTTTTCAATTGAGGAAAGAACAGTTTATGTAATTAACTTTCCCCATTTTTCATTTGTTCTGGTTCGTTTCGCCATATTTACGATCAAGTTTACAAAGTCATGTTCGCAGTCGACGGTCCAGCATCTCCAGCTTTGGAGGTCGTTCGTGTCACATTGCCCCACGGCAGTCATATTCACGGTTATCGGTATGCATCACATCCTCTATTATCACATCCTCTTTTTAATTAATTAACGCTGACGAGAGTTAGAAATCGTACCTGTTTCGCAACAGCATTTCGCCGCGATGTTTCTCCGCTTGGCCAACATATCCATTGTTCAGGGAACTCGGTAAGGTGAAGAAATTATTCCAGTTATTCAATGGATGACGAAACGATTCGACGCTGTACGTGTATATTCTACACAAAATTTTCTAATAATCGAGTCGCTGAAAATTCGCGGAACAGCCATTCGAATTGCGAGAACATTCGTTCGAAATCAAGTTCAACGGAAAGAAATCGCTCGAACGTGATATCGTTCATCAGACTTTAATCCTTCGACCCACTTGACACGTAATTCTTGCGCTCGTAACGCTTGGGCTTCGCCACAGCCGGGAAATTAAGTTTGAACGAAAGACGCCTGTGAAACACGAGACGCGATCGCCAATATGGCGGCGCTCGTCGCAGAAACGGAATTCATTGAAACGTGGCTTGCAACATTTCTTTTTCACGTGGGAAAACACAAAGGATCAGGACAGAATATTCACGATGAAACTGGAATCGGAGAAATGTTCAATTTTTTAGAAAATTCTATCTATCCTATTTAACACGTTTCGTGCCACAGGTACCACCGGTGGTACACGCAGCCTGAATGGGAAATTTAACGTGTACCATCGGTGGTACATATGGCACGGAACGTCTTCATGTTGAACTGTAGTTTAAAACAAGACCATCAGCCTCTATTAACAAAAGACACACATGTTCGGTAATTTATGACTTGAAGAACGACATAAAGATTGTCTGGCTACGTACGGCCTTTTTCACTGTGGCACGGAACGTGTTAAAAATGAATTTTCTTGAAGGAAAATGTTTTAATTCGCGACAGGAAGAGATGAATTTTCTGTAGTAATTGCGACAGAGGTTGCTAAAGACAATAGATCGTGTAAACAAAGTGATCCGCTTTGTATTTAACGGAAGACACAAGGGAAGCGATGTATTCGGTTTGAAATAGAAGCACGAAGCAAAAGCACGTGCCTCGTTTGATGTGAATACCAGTCAACAGTTGCTGAGTAACAGCGAAGCAGGCTTTCCCTTGTAAATCTTATGCATTGCCCCTTCGTCCTTGCTATTTCCTGTTGTCGTGAAATTGCGCTCCGGTCATAATTTACTTATTTCCTACGCAACTATCACCAGTTCTGCTGCTTCATGTTTAATTCTGTTTTATTACAGCGATAATTGCATTGGCATTGCTGTCTCACAGAAGTGCTTTCGCAAAGATATGCTTGGCTTTGTGGCTTTCATAGTTCTTTGTCGCGGGAAGTGACGGTGACGACAGATTCTCTTGGAGGTTTCCTTTGTGAAGTTCATTTAGTGTTTATAAAGTGTAACAGGACAGAGGTCAAAGCGAAGAAAATGATAACAGTGCAGTTTTTATTAAAGAGAATTCCTGCGTTCTCTTAAAAAATGCACTATGTTGCGTGAACCTTCTTGCTAAGAACTTCAGATACTCATCTTCCCAATTATGGGATTCCACTACATATTCCGACTTTTGTAGCAATTGAGAACTACTAACACGATGATTTAGTCATAATTCCTTCGTGTAACAACTTCGAAAAATTAATATTCAGGGAGTCCCCAAAATCGTGATAAAACTGATGAGTTGGTGATTCTACGTGTAAAAATAAGCCGATGAAAAAGAATAACATTTTTTTATTTAAGGCTTCGTTTTCGAGATAATCGAATTTGAAAATCTGCTGGATACGCGTGCCACTGAATAGGGCTTGGCCAACTCGTCTGCCCAGTACAGTCTGTTTCTACTTACCACCGTGACGAATACACGCGTTTTGGTTTACCATTCAAATTAGATATTCTCGAAAACGAAACGTCAAACGACAAAAATTTATTCTTCTTTTTCGACATATTTTCTTGTAGAATCACCACCATTGGGCGTATCACAATTTTGGGGACCTCCATCACAGACATCCCCTTTTCAGATCACAGTAGAGGGACTAAAAACTTACACAATAAATGAACTCCGTATCTATCACCCTGCTTTCTTCACTATTCTGTCCTATTAGGGCTAACTGACGTATCTGCAATTTTTACATATTTCGGGTTACGAGCAATTTGGATACAAAATATTATTTTTTCAAATAATGTAAACAACTTCAACCGACTGCATTAAGTCGCACACAAAATTACCCTAGGTGAGTACTTTGTTACAAAAAAAAACATATAACATATGGTTGGCATTATTAACCCTTTGCACTCCGATGTGGCAGCGGCGAAATCTAGAAGCAACATTTATACGTTTAAAAATTAAAATATTCTTCACTTTTCCATGAGGGCCTCTATTATGACATTGCATGTAAAATTGTGTGTTAAAACTAAATAGTCCTGGAGTAGCTGGTTGTTCATAGTAAAAATGACTCGGGGTTGCTGATAGGTCATATCACAGACGAGATATAAGAATAGACCTAACATCTTATGGGACTTCGTTAGGTCTATTCTTATATCTCGTCTGTGGTGATATTAAAGATTGCTCGGAGTGCAAAGGATTAAACGTACTAAATTGCTCGTCTTTCTCGAAACAAGGTTTTCGCAGACACGTCAATTAGCCTTAGCAGGGAAGTATTATTGTAGAATTAAATTTACAAAATAAGTGTTTCTGGTGCATGGTTTAGACGGGCATGGTGGCTGACGCTAGACGCTATTCTTCTGTTTCCAGCACTGTGTTAGCGTGGCCGGAGGTGGCGGCGGCGGAGGTGGCGGTGGAGGCGGTGGCACGGTCGCCGGCAGTCGGCTGAACCTGCACCTTCGTTCCTGCGGAAGCAGCGGTGGCGGTGCCGGCATCGCCGGAAGTGACAGCGCTTCGGATTACCCGCCAAGCGCTGCGGCAGCGCGGAGCCGCGAGGCGGCGGCGGCGGCGCTGCACGCGGCAAGAACCCTGTTGGGCGCGGGGGTGGCTAACCCTTGCTCGCCCACCCCCGAACCGCCCTTCTGGAAGATGCCGCATAAAGGTTGGTCGAACGAGCCTGCTTTTCTTTACACCATCCACGCGAAATTCGTGACTTCCTGTTTCCCTCTCTGTCTAGTTTTAGGCGATACAGTAACGATGTTTCGAATACCTTTCAAGTCAAATATCGATATTTTGCATCGATATTTAATTTGACGTTATATTCCAGTAGCGATTAGACCAATCACGGTGATTCGTGATTTTTCGTGATCGTTTCTGATTGCTGGAGAAACATAACAGTTCTTTACACGCGACACATTAAATGCATATTTTATATTCACATCAAAACAAAAATTCGAGTTATATCGTATAACGTGAAGAAATATAATCAGAAACGACGAAGAATAATGAATAAATTAATGATTATTAATTATAATCTACACGTTACCTAGCGAATCGTTCTTTTAGAATTTCGTGTTTTTTCTACTGACTTTTACAAACACAAATATGTAGTAATGTAATTCATCGTAAAATCATATTGAATACGTTTTTCTGTTTAAAGAGAGCAAATTCACTCGAGATAAAAAAAGTCGCAATCACGATCGTGAATGAAGTTAAATCACGACCGTGATCTTGGCTGGCGCGTCTGTTCATTGCAGACCGTTTCTACTTATTGCCCGCACAATACATTTGATTTAGATGAATTTTCTCGAAAACTGAACATGGAACGAAGAAAATTTATTCTTTTTCTTCGGCTTATTTTTCCTTATAGAATCACCTCCTGCTCCGGTTATGCTACCCAAACAAAGATACTCAGATAAATTCTGTTTTTATCCAGAAAAATTTTGTTCTCCATACTATCGACTTACTAGTTTCATGTAGAATCACCATTTTCATTGTTAGCACCACTATCTATAGGTCACCCTATGTAGTCCATTGAGCTTTGATGATCACTAAACAACTTCTTGACAGATAAACAATTAAATTGTAACATAAAGTGTGCGGAATTTGTCGTAATGAACGTGTCAAAGTGTACAGTAAGAGTATAAAATTGTACTAAGAATTTGTCTTTTCAAAGGGAGTGCAATAATTTAATTTCTCTACTCGTAAGATATTCTAGAGGATACAATTCGTCTGAAGACCTTGAGGCAATACAATATCATGATTCTAAGTATTTCATAGAGACAGACGATAGCAGATTAGATGTGTATCGTGTTTTTCATCGCATTGTTTTTTTTTTTTTTCTATCGTTGCTAAGATTTACGCGCGTACACGTTCTCTATCGACCGTATTCCGCTGTGGTCGCCGGGAATAGAGATCAGTTTATCTAATAGTTCGCTTATCGCGCGGAGCTGGTTTCAAAGGAACATAGCTGTTCTATCGAGCATCATCTGCGGCGCGATCGCTTGAAATCGCTTTCCTCCACATATTACAGGCGTTTCACCCTGTAAACAAGTTTCAACCACGTAAAATTATTCACCGCATAGAATCCACATTAGACTGCGTCTATAATTAAACCTAGTCTCCACTATATCCATAAATAACTAAAAAAAAAAAAGAAAAAAATAAAGAGAAAAAAAAAGGGAATAAGGTAAATTGCAATGAAAGTTCAATGGAAAGATTATGGTCTGGTATTTGCGATCGTTGTTCGTTTCGAAAGAAAAAAAAAAATAAAGGAGAAAAGAATATTTAATTACGAGGCTCGTGAAACTGACAGGCCGGCCGATTATCTGTCATTCGGATATTTTATCTGGACGATCCGGGGCCCAGCGTATCTCGACGACTTTGCTAATAGAAGGCCGTTACAATGCGGTCGAGCGTCGGTCGCCTTTCGTATTGTCACTGTTCGTTAGCGTTAACTTCGTACCCGTGTATACCGTGAAACCCGAGCCACGAGGATCGTTCTCTTTTTTCCGTGCCTTTTTTTATCGATACAGTCGACGACGATGTCTCGAATTTTTGGAGGATGGATTTCGAGTCGTTCGAAAAGCTGGCCCACGGACCTGGTTCCATGAATCGGTCTAAACCCTCGCCTGGATACAAAGTGCCGACAAATGTTACCTGTTCCCTCCTTAAAACTACTTTCTGACCAATCTTCGGAGATGCTAATATTACCTTAGGCATTGTCGCTTAGATCTGTATTGCAAAAATAAGCGTAAAATGACAATATGGAAATTAGGATATTTCAGGAGATTCCCCTACTTTTTATTCTATAGTACAGAAAGTATTGCACTTACAATTGCCTTTCTACGATAATCGAAATTACGAATTATCGAGGTAGGTAGATGCTGGCAGAAAATGCATCTTCCTGGCCTCGATCTACATGTTATCAAAGTTGAAAATTGATCATTAATATCAACTTTCAAGCTCTATCATAAATTTCAAATGAGCTATCAACTTCAGAAATTACCCTGTACAGTCAGTTTCCATAACATCCGAAAGTCCAAATTGTTCCAATAATAAACGTTTTAGTTCTCCAAACCTCCGCCATCTTTAACCCTCCGTGACCCCTTGGGTCTTTCATGTCACAAGAGAAATTTCCCCTTCAAATGTCTACGAAACAAAGGGTATTGTTATTACAAAAAAAACCATTTAAGATTCAACTTTAAAAACTATTGGTCAATTTAATAGAGACCCTGGGAAGTATCTAAGATTTCTTGAAAGTTTCTACGATAATAAATAATAAATCTGGACATAAAAGGCTCAAGGGGTGACGGAAGCAGTAAAAACAACGGAGTCCACGAACTGCTGAAAATGACATTTTTCATTCAGACCACGTTATTAGCTTCTCATAGAGCATATTGAACTGCTCACGATCGATCAGACAGTAGTCATTCATTTGACGGAAGCGTGAAATCCGTCTGTCCCTGGTTAAATCGGAAGTGGCAGCCTTTCGAAACTGGCCGTCTCAATTTACATCTTGTTACTTTCCCGTTAGCGTGCCCCGTGCACAGGATCATAGGTGGTGGGTACGGGATCATGCCGCAGCCTTTGGCTAAATTTGTGACCTTCGTGATGAGTTATACTAGGGTCAGGGCAAATACGTGTACGCTTATGGGCTTAGGTGGGGCTCGCGGTTACCCCCGGGGTTAGCCGGTAACCCGACACGCCTTTCCTTGGCTTCTGTCGGGCCAACAGCCCCTTCTTCAACCGACGGGGGGGTCTCGACGTCGAAGGGTGGCGCCTTTTACCCCCGAAAACCCCTCCGCCGTCGATTCGTCGGCGCACGAGCGCGCCCCGGTTGTACAACAACACTCGGCACAATCGGCTCCGTTACGTTGGGTTTAATAAACGGGCAGCCGCCGCCTACACCGCCAATTTGTCTTTTCCTTTGTGCACCGTTTTATTGGCGGCCCGTTGTGTACACACTGGCGGCGATACAGGCGTCGAATCATGTCTTCTGACGCTGGGAACAGATCTTCGGGGACGTTTCGAAATTCTTTGGAAGATTCCTTTGGGAATAGACTTAATCTTCTGGGACATCATCCAAGTATAGGGTAGAAGTGAGTAGTTGGAGCTTGGGTGTTTAGGCTATGTATTATGTTCGAAGACACTTTGAAATTCGTTGAGGATTTTTTAGGAATAGACTTAATTTTCTAGGATATCATCCAAGGAGTCACGTTTAGGGTAGATATGAGTAGTTAAAGGTTGGGTGTTTATGCTATGGATACATGATTTTCGGAGAAATTTTGAAATCAAAATCTCAAAGAGTTTATTCATACATTTAACCTTTTTCTCCTTAGTGATTGCTAAGTGATGCCACTGGCAAACAACAGAGTATCCAACCGATATCTGTGAAGAAAGCACAAAAATTATCTTTAACTTCTTTTTTTTGTTATCTCCATTAGTGATAGTAAAAAGTGACGTCATAATTCTACCTATGAATAATCAACCATCGTTAGAATTCAGCCGCCAACCTACTCCCATTAGGATCCAAGTGATCGATATCAATAAATCAAGGCTCCAGAGTAGAAACACCGAAGAACCCACCAACTCTCGCGGTCTGTCTTTAATCAATAATCCGATCACAATCGCGGATAAGAGTTACAGTTCGCATTACTCTAAGCCCCCGTAACCGAAGCCATCATCTGATAATCCCGTACAATTTCGGCCCGTTAAAATTGATTTTCACCGGCAGCAGAACCAGATAGGGAAGGCGTGTGCGTATGTTTACCCGAAGCTTGGCCGGTATCGTATTACCGTTCCGCGATCATAATACGAGAGGCTCCAGGACAGGGAAGAAAAGTTTCCCCTACGGGGACGAGCGCATCGTGGAGAGTTGCGAGAGAAAAGGTCGACAATGGCCTCCGTGGCACGAGCAACAAAACTCGCTCCCTTTTCTTCCGTGGCTCCCTTTTTCCTCGCTCTCTTTCTCCACCGATCTTCCGTCTTCATCGCGTGCTAGAAAGAACCGGGGGGCAGCTATTCGAATCAAACGTTTTCACAGGGGCACTTTATTTCGTGCTAGGCTACAAGATTTGTTAATGGTTATGGCCGTACGTGGCCCCAGTCCGCTCGCGTGCCAGCCGAAGCTGCAGAGATTACCTGTTCGACCCCCTTCCCACTCCTATGGCTCTTGCGTGGGGCAATAAATGTCGGGGGCGCGGGATTATCCGCGGCGGGCCAATGGGATATCATTCGTAATACATCTCGAGGTTTTCTCCGTTCATACTTTATACCAGCATCGCGGATTCGACGGGGGTTTCTTCGTACGGGCGACTTTTCGTGCTGGTGGGAGGGATGAAATGGAGGGAGGGAATCGATCGTTTTTTTTTTTGTAATCTAGAATCGAGTGGAAAGGTACGACGGAAGGCCTCGTGGAAGATTTTTAGAATGGATTTATCAGTTTAGTGGGTAGGTTTGTGGATCGGATGTTCGTTTTGAGGTTGTACGATATTAGGCGTCTGTAGATGATTGATGTTTGTACAGGGTGCTTCCGAAATGGTGGAACAACCTGAAAGGATGTGATTGTAGATGCTAAAATAACTCGTAAATGTGAAATAATATTTTTTATTACATCAGGATAATCAGTTTTCAACATCACACCCAATCGACGAATACCTC